TTCTCTCTAATTCCATATAACGTAACCCGATCGCACATGGCGAGATACATACATCGATCCCGCTATTCGAAAATAATGGCTTACCTTTAAACTAGACCTTATACTTTTTTTTACATTAATATTTGACTTACTGAATTGATCGAAAACCTTCAAATTTTACGAAACCTTGCGTTTAGCTACCCCAATTTTTTCGAGATCCCTACAAATCAAGTTAATTAGGATTATACATTTCAACCTAAATGGAACACTCTAGTAATCTTCCTTGACGTGAATAAAGGGTAAATATATCGCTTCACTCTTTAAATTAAAATCAGCCCATTTTTCTTACCATTAGCATTCGAATTTCCGGTCACCAAATAATACGCATTGGCTTACATACCAGTATACGTGCCACTTTTTCATTATTGTAAATACTCTGTATAATCAAAATCGATGCAGTAGCTAATATTAACATAATCACAGTCACTACATGGCCTTTGGCCAGCGTTGAGCCAACGCCAACAGCAAGCAATCAAGTGAGTGACCAACCAACCAACTTACTAAGGACTAACATACAAAGCACCAGGCACGGTACATACAAACAGGCATATGTAAGTAACTTTTTGATCAACTACCAAACACTCGCTTACTCTACTCAGGCCACTTTTTTATTCATACACCAAACTGACCGACTGGCTCACTAGCTGGCTGTGGCAGCTTTGTGCTGATCGCAATTTCAGCATAACTGCAGGGCGATCAATTAAAATTTTGATCGAATTTTCGTCAATTTGTGTATGATGCTTGACATGTGCCCGTCGCCAGTCACTACACACGAACACACACCACCACACTACAACGTCATACACATGATTGTCGCGGGCTGAGCTTCAATCAACTTCATCTGCATCAGCAACGGTAGCTGTCTGTAGCTGTATCCCCGTCCATTGATGACTTTAGACCGTACGCTCTTGTCTCTCGCCCCTCACGTGGACTTGATGTATCAAGCTAAATCATAATGAAAGCTGCTGCAATTCCAACAGATCAATGTAAAAATTTTAACGCCTCCAGCTAAACGCTGACTACGGACGACAATACACCGCTATGCCAACAAAATGTGCCCAGCCGATGATCGCTAGTGAGCAGTCACAGCGCCATTACCGCCTGTATGCCTGTGCGCCCGTAAGCCCGTGCGCTTGAAAGGGTGGTATATATTTTTATTAAAGCGTAAATGAATTTCTGCGAGCAATAATAACTGCCAAAAACGCAAGCCGAGCACTTGTCGCTCCCTCATCAGACGTCCTGCTGGCTGGGCTCTTGGTGTTTTTTTTCTGCTGTTTCATTGCCGGAAAGATGATTATAACTTGAGATCGATCACTTGATGTCGTTGATCGCTAACTTGATGCAGCTACTGTAGAAAAGAAGTTGACGTACTGCGACGGGCTGCCAGCCCTGCAGAAATAAATCGAGAGAATGCGTATGAAAAAAATACTTTTCGTTTGGCGCTTTTTTGTTATTGCTGTTTTGCTTTTTTGCCTTTTCGCTGGCAGAAAATTATGTAGCGCATGTGTATGCTGAAAGACTTAGTCGCTGAGAGAAAATTGCGTTATTAAATTTCAGAACACGCTTCTCCGCCACCGACCTGCGCGCCGCCTAACGTAAATACCGGCTTACTTGCCATCCGAAGTACCCACACTAGCCGTCGCATGGTCGTGGTAGCAACCGACTTTATTTGACAAGTTTGCCCCTGAGCTATGCAGCGTGTTTGAAATAAGGTTTAACATTAACTTGATTGAAGTATTTTTCGGCGTAGTGATTAATGTTTATCCGCAGGATCAACAGCAAGATCTTATGCAGATTTTACCGATAGCAACCTATTCACAATAAAGTGTTGAATTCATAAGAATTGAGTGTGGCAATCGGTTGAAATGAGGTGTAGCAGGGTAATACGGAATAAATTTTTTTTAAAATTACTAAGCATTGTCATAATTGTAAAATCTGATAAGAAAAGAGGTAAACTTTTAAAAAATCACGCCAACTTTCATAATCAAGTCGTTCGAGAATGTGCTCAGTGGGTCAGCAGTTCAAGAGCTAGCGAGTTGAAACCCAGAGTTATAGAAATATTTTTTTTGGCAGCAAGCATATTGGAAAATTTTAGAAACAATCTATTGTTGCTTTATAAATTCTTCTTTTGGGTGCGACTTATTAGAACTGTCATTAGTTGAAGAAGCTTTTCATACCAACGGTTTAACCAATTTTCCATACATTTGTTATAAGCCTCGGCAAGGATGGCCTTCAGAGCCTTAATTGAATGAATTTTAATGGCTACAATGGTGTCAAGGCATGATCTCCGAAGCGCATTTTTCAATTTCGAAAACAGATGAAAGTCACAGGCAGCCAAATATGGCGAATACGGTGGCTGAGCTATGACTTTCGTTTCATCTTTGGTCAGTCACAATTATACTGGAATGTTACGCCGCATTCAGGTCTTTTGGAACGAGTCTAGTATTCACTCGCTTCATATCCAAAATAAATAATATCATAAATCAAAATGTTTTGAGTCTACCCATAAGAAATGGTGTGATCCTCTGCTATATCTCTGATGCCAACACGACGATTTCCTTCTATGCCTTTTTCGAAATTATCTACATTAACGACGACTCACATATGAAGCAAGTTTTCGATGATTTCGCGACTTTCACTGATTGTTTTGTACAACACAAATATTGTACTAATATTCGTGATAAAGTAGATTCCACTAAACCCTTCTGTAACATTTTCGACAATTCCGTAGCCATGATTCCATTGGAAACCTTAAATTTCAAACAAACACGTTGGTAAATTTTTTTTCCATGATAAAAATTGCCAGACATATGGATATAATAATATCAAAAAAAAAATTTTATCGATTCGGTTTGCGCGTGCAGCTTAAATGGACCAGTCCAAGTCAAATTTGATCAGATGGTATTTCTGACCTTTATTTTATCTACCTACTTTATATATTCATCGTATACTATGTATCAATGTTAAGTGTTATTATATAATATAATCTCAAGACTAGATATTTTAATTTGAAAAGCATGGTATAGTCTTTCGGAGCTTTTAGGCCCTATTTAAGAGAGATTTGGAGAATGGTAGCAGGAATTAAATTTTCTCTGTGAATATGCGACTTGGAGAAAGGTAATATGAGCTTCTGAATAAGTATTACTATGATCTACTTGAAGCTTGTATTGCTATCAAAAAACGGAAAACTGCCCTTCGGAGCTTTTAAGCTCCTTTTACAGCTTTTTGTAATATTTAACCCTAAAAGCACTTAAGTTTGCTTCTTTCGCCCATTCAATATTCCTGCAGTTCTGTAGTTACTTTCACATTGACAACCTTCATAATTCTGTGATCATTTGTTACAATTAATTATGTTGTTGAATGCTTATAACTGAACCACGTTGATCTTATTTAAACTCTACGGTATGCAGCTTGATGATCTTCAACGATCATGTACATACGTAAATACACAATTAATTCAGAAATTATAACAAGTGATAGTGTACAGTACTAGCAAAGAAGAAATATCTTTCAAGCCAAGACATAAGCTCGCAATTAAAATAATTGGAATACTTTCGAGTAGAATTTGTTTTATTTTTTTTTGTGCGCAATTGACCCAAAGATCACAAGTAAATGCATGGGAATCATTAATGAAGTTAGATCTAACAAGAAATCTGTATATCGCGGAGATAACTGCGCAACAAAGCAATTCTTTAAATTTTATTGAAATAACCGTTGAATGAAATGTCTGTGTATTGGGCTGGAATGCATAACCGATTCAGCTACTTTTCCAACACTTTGTTACATTTTCGCTAATAAAATTATTAATGGAATTTTTTTGATTTCATTCAAATGACAAGTGCAGAACAAAGAGGCAGAAAGCTAAAAAAAAAGGCTATAAATAAAGCTTTGTAGCCAATAACCACACGTTCTCATGTATTTACTTAGCTACGCGTGAAAGCGCAGAAAATGACAGTGAAAGAAGCACAATAATAATAATGCGCCAGAAGTGTGTGATAGATGAGAAAAGTAAATAAATAAATTAAATGCTGAAAAGTGATCACGCTGATCGTACGATTGAGACATGTGAGGCATTCAATTAGGGCACTATGCCCGACTGGCAGCGCGTTAGATTTTCAAAACCTAAATTGAATATATTTAAGAGTAAAAGCTGCTATTTATTTCTATATATATATATATCTATATATACTTCTTTAAAATATATCTATATATACTTCTAAAAAGCGTACAATGAAAAGAAGACGAAGGAAAACTTTGTGCCAATCAAGCGCCGCAGCTTGTCTGTCGATCATTAGAAGCTCTGCGCTGATGGGCAAACAAATCAAGTATCATCAGTAAGTAAATCAATCCAATCACAGTGACAATCATCGCAATGATAGATACTTATATAGAAATATATATGTGCATACATATATTTACGTTGGTGTGTATATATATTCATGACACGTGCAAAGCAGCTATTCATTGGTGATCATGAAATTGATTGTGACGATCAGTAGCGAACTTTTTTTCTTCACAAAACTAACACATACAAGCAGCTCTTTCAAGCAACCAAGCGTGGCAGAATTGGACAGAATTGGGTTGTTTGCCACTCAAGCAGTGATTGCTCCTAAAGCCCTCGCACTGACAATGTTCGATAGTTTGAACAATTAGCTGAAAATTTCCAAAACCAATATTGAAAATCACCAAAACAAATATTATATATACATATATTTAGATATAGTTGTGTGGATAGGCAGGAGAAATTCGCTGCTGAATCAACAATAAGTAGAGAAATACCAAAAGTAGCAAGACAATAAATTATTTGTACATTTATTTAAGTAAATAAAAACTTAAATAACGCACAATTAGTGCTTGTTGCTGCAGCAAAGAATAAGTCTTCTAATAATCAAAATGTTTCTCTTGTTTATTTTAAATATTATTTTTAAGCTTTTAAAATATGAATTTTCTTTTCCTTGCAGAGTCAAGCCTTGGCATTAACACGCGCTGCAAATGCCGCCGCCGCTGCTGCAGCCGCTTCAGCTAATGCCGCAGCCGCGGCCGCTGCGCAGGGCATCAAACCCACCGGTACCGCCAGTTTAGCCGAGCTGGCGCTGAAGAAAGAGCATTCTTTGTCACCACCACACAGCATCGGTAGCGGCAGCAGCGCAACAGCTGCTGCTGCTTCTGTCGCCAATATCGATGAAGGTGGTGGGAGTGCTGTGGCTGCTGCCAATTATCGACGACGCCCCTCGTTGCAAGGTGTGCAAGACAAATTGGCGCAATTGCAAATGCAACATCAGCAACAACAACAACAGCAGCAACATATACAACAACAACAGCAGCAACATCAACAACAATTGCATGAACAGCATCAACAGCAGCTACGTGAACAACTTGCCGCACACGATGAGGCGCGTAGTCCGCGTTTCGGCAATTTGGCTGCTAGCTTGGGTGTTGGCGCCGCCAATAGCGCTATTGTGCGATCACGCTCTACAGATGCCAACACCTCACCGAATGCCACAATACAGCTGGGCGCAGATAATGAACGGCACATTTCCTCGACACCTTCTAGTCAGAATGCCTCATTGGCTGCCACACCGAAGTTACTGGAACGTGATGAACGTGGCGGCTCCGGCTCCGGCAGTGGTGGTGGTGGTGTTGTTGTTGGCACCAACCCTGGGTTGGTTGGTAGCATTAGTTGCTTGCCACCAGCTGCGCTAAATGCAGTTGCCAGCAGCATGGCGAGCGGTGTCGCGAGTTCACTGCATTCCGGTGTTGGTGGTGTTCCCTCACAGGCGGAGCAATTGTTGTCGTCGACGCCGTCGGCATTGGAAAGCCGAGCACGTGAATTTGATCCAGCGAAATTAAATTGTGAGTACAACAAATAATTATTACAATATATAACAAATAAACTCAAGCGATTATCTTATATTAAGTACTGCAGTTAATTTCGGTACGCATTTTTAAAACGCTTAGCCTTATTTTTTTTTTTATGCATTAATTTTTGCAGAGTGTAAAATGAATTTTACAGAATTTAATACGAAATAAAGTCATATCGCGACAAAATCAAGTTGCCTGTTATATCTTTTGTAGGGGGTTTCAGCAAATCTCAAGGTATTATATTTAACAGATATGAACCATATTAATCTTCAATTTCTCTCTTCATTCAATATCTTTTTCATATTCTCTAAGCTAACTAACTAAGCTGTTAACCAACTAGCCTGAACTGCTGCATAAATCTCAGCCATGCTCCATTTATAAAATATCTAAAATTTAGTTGCCTTAAATCTGTCTTATAGCAACCACTTTCTCTATTATAAATTCTAATGGCTCACATACACTTACCTAACCCAACTACATAGCCAGCCCAACCGGATTTCCTTTGACTGCTTATCCACAAATTTATATGCACACTTATCCCTCAATTATAATGATACATGTAGCAGCTTAAATAAAATACATGTATATATATATATTATTACACACATACATATTAAGTGTGTCTGCGTATTCAACGCAATAAAATTTATAATCCCTTTTTGGCTTTGCTTTTACGCTTTGGTAATTTCTCTGTCTTGCTTAAGCGCAACCTTGCAAACCCTATTATTATTTATTTCCAAATACTTCCAATGCTTGTCTAAGGATTAGTTACTCGTTTGTCTCCCCACGTACGCTTCTTCACTACTTCATTAAAATAATAACAATTCACACTCGTTTGATCAAATCACAGACAATTCGGATATGCGACTAGTCGTTGTCAAGCAGTGTGCGTGCAAAGGTGGTGGACGAACAAGAAATCAAAGCTGTAGTGAATGTGTAATTGAAGTAGGTATGTCTTCGGAAACCATGTGTTTTTGCTATGTGGAGCCATACAATGGGTAAATCCTTAAATCCTATGCAATAAGCATTCATCAAAGTGTACTTGGAATATATGTATATACATAATCGTATGTGTATTTATGTCAATGTATATAAAGGCATAATTTTCTTGAGAGACCTATTATTATATATGTTAGATAGACAGAACAGTTAAATAATTTGGATAAATTTTACCCACAAATTATTAACGGGTTAGGATGGTTTTAAGATATGTAAAATGGTCATAAAACCTAATGCAATTGGTAGAATAGTGAACATGTTTTTGACTCAGTTTTAATACAACTTACAGGAAATTTTTTCGATCAAAAATGGTACAATGATTAGAGGCTCGCATTACTACAGGCTGTGCTTGAGTCCGATCTCACGTTCTGACTAATGTCAAAGAGTGCTTTAAAGACAGAAGTTCATCAGAAAGCAATGGGTCGCCTCCTTGTATTATTTTATACCCTAAACAGGGCAACATATAAATGATCCACATGACAAGCTGAGTCGATTTAGCCAAGTCCGTCTGTCTGTCCGTTTGTCCATATGTCTGTTTAAACGTCAACTAAGCCCTCAGTTTTCGAAATATCGCTCTGAAATTTTTCGCACGTTCTTTTCTTTTCATTTGTGGGAATCGCTGACATCGGACCACTTCAGCATATAACAATCATACAAACTGATCAATTAAATTCAAATCCTAGTATGGAAAACTTTTTTATTTGCAAGATACCCCTACGAACTTTCACATGAATTATGTCTAAGACAATGCAACAATCTGCGGGCAAATTGTTCAGATCATTCCATTATAGCATATATGTAGCTGACATACAAACAGACCGATCAAAAACATGATAAAGATCATTTTATACCCTTTCATACTGTTATAAATGGAAGTGTGAAATTTTTATGTACAATACATGTAATAACATACACGTATATACATATATTGCTAAACAAGAATTATCATCCCTTCACACTTTTTAAAATATTTTAAATTTCAACTTTTTTTAATTCTAAATACTGATTTAATTATTTTAAGCAGAAACAACAATTATAATGTTAAAATTCTAAATAATCATTAATTTTGATTCTAATTTTCGATAATCTACTACTAATGCTGGTAGTCAAAGAGAGGATTTAAAATAAATTGCCTCTACCCATGAAATATAAAAATCAGCTTACATTCTACTCACACACATACATATAAATACATATATCATGATAGTATGATCTGCTTTACGTTCCCTAAAGACAGGCTTCAATAGCGACCCCTTTTATTTGCTGCAAATATTAATATATATTAGTATAAAGTAACAAACACATACATACATAGGCTTGCCACAAAGCAAACAAACAAATATACATACACGTAATTGTGTGTGTGTTCGTTGGCGCGCTGGCTGAAGCTACAAAGCGATGGCATTAAAATAATTCAAAAACGGCTTAGGGATTAAAGGGATTAATCGGCCACGCTAATGAAAATTGTAACATTGCGGTTTTGAGGCAAACATATTCGTTGCTACGAAATTAAATGCATATCCGCACATGTGTATATTCGAGTTTACCATATACCTATATATTATATGGTAAATGTGTGCTTGCTGGTAAATGAAAGCGACTCGCTAAACCAAAGCGGCAGTAAATGATAAAGCAAAAACAAAAATTCAACAAAAAACCAGAACGATTTGTATTTAAGGGCAAAGCTCTTAATTCGCCTTCTCTCCAGCTGTTGTTGTTATTGATTTTATTTTCATATGGAATGTACTGTTAAAGGATTTCAAGGATTTACCTAAAAATGTGCATTTAAAGGAAAATATTGATTTTAGGTGCTTACAAGCAAATCCCTATATACATATTATATATGTATGTATTATGTATGTAAAGTATGTACGCGTATGCCTACTCAGTATATGTGCGTATGTTTGTGCCAATTTTTGTAACGTTTGCAGAATTTTAATATCTATATATGGAGTTATGTGCGCTTATGGAAGGATTAACGCTAAAGCCACAGTACTGTATAATTACTATAATGCTTTCAACACAAATAATACGTAAGAATTCATAAAAACATGAAAGAGAAAGTGAAAATATAATTTTGTATAATGTTTAAGTTGAGATGTGAGAATGCTACTGCAAGCATTGTCTGAAAATAAAATTATTCTTCATTGACCATGCCCCATTGAATCATTTATGCACACTGATGCCAATTACAGGCGATATACAATATGTATGTATGTATATAAATCTCTAGGTACATTGTTTTACCATAATCCCCAAAACCATTTATATGTAAAATGTTTATATTGTCAGAAAACAGTTTAAAAATTTACGTAAAAAAAATATTTAAAAATTCACACCTAAGTGCTTTGTTTATATTCACTACGATATTAATTATTTCGGTGCTTCATCCATGAGCTCCACAAATCTAAAGGTGGTCTATCTTTCAATATCTTTTGTAGTACAAAATGAGAGAACCAGAGATATTTTATCGGTCTCATACCATTAGGTACCTAAAATCTATGTTTTGCGAAATCTGGAATTCAAATAGAAATATGAATGAAATTAAATTCCAATCGTCCAGAATCCAATTTAGCTCCACCTTCTTTTTATAGTTTATTTGGACAACTTTTCTTCGCATACTTATAAAAGTTTTTTAACAACATTACAGACATGTTGTCATGAAATATACACCCCAACAACATCCATCAGCTGTGCCAGCGTGTTAAAGTCAGAGTTATCCTAGCAATTTTGCACATTGCCACGAATTGTTGGGCTGCCTTAATCTGTAGCCAAACAAATTCGAAAGCTGAAATTCCCAAACACATACTCGTACACTTACATAAAAGCATGTGCGTTAGTATTGATAAATACTGGTGTGGAAGTGAAGCCATTGTTGGAAGTGTGTCACTATTTTTGTAGAAACCAAATGTGTATACACACAGACATAAGCACAATACATCTATTTCTATACATAAGAGAATGTGAGCGAATAGGTTTTTAGACTCTTGCACAAGTTTATAAGAATGTAACTACCTATAAAGGATATTATCTCTTGGATATGCTATTTAACGTTAGAAACAAATAATTTGAACCTTTTAGGTGATTGTCTGCGTAGTGTATATATTATACTTTCAGCACTTATACATATATATCTACAACAGTGGCATGCATTCAAACAAGTGCTTCTATCACACACTAGTTTTCCACATCTCTACTTACTACTCTTACTCGATTTTGAGTTGCACGTTCAACAAATCCTCACAATCTCCTCACTGCTTTTCTCCATCAATAGACCCGCACATTTATCATCATCAACAACATCTCAATTTGTAATACATACAAATGCATACATAGTTGTATGTGCTTGCCATTTTGGCGCTGACAATATCGTCAATAGCGTCATTCATCGATGATGTCACCGACTACATTCATAAGTCTTCATCTACTATAGCACCCACAGCACATTGCTTCGTTTCACCTCTGCTGTTTTGTTTATTGTGAATGCTTCTCTCAAATTCTATATGTATACTTTAGGTATATATTTGTATGGTATGTAGCGACGAAATGCTGCAAATTCTTAATCCAAAGGATTTCCCATCGCCACATTCAAATGTGTGCACAGCTCGATAAATCTGAATGCGTATAAAGACGGGCACATAATATTACATAGCTATCTACACAAACAACTCTGTGCAAATGTGTTAATATTGGTATATATGTAGGTGAGTGTGTTGCCACATGAAATTGTATCAGTTTGACTATTAGCAGATGGTTCAGCAGCATGTGTATGTGTGTCTTATTGACTGATTAATATTCTAAAGGCATTTAATATTAATTGAAAAATTAACAAAGTGAAAATGTTTAAGTTTATTTGGTTCTTTTTTTCTTAATTTATTCTCATTGTCAGTCAACTTAATTAATTTATGAGTGTAAATTTCGATAAATAAATATTATTTTTGGGAACAATCTACAAAATAATACACTTGTATTTAACGAAAGTTTGAAAACTT